TGGCAAGTGCAAGGGCCTGGGATCAATCCCCTGGTTCCGCCAAAAAAATAATTAATTAATTAAAATAAAAAAATATTTATTAGGGCTGAGATCTGACAAGATAGCTGGGCTGCCCCACAGGCCCACCAAGGAAATTCAGCATTTTCTGGCAGAGCCAGTTTCTGGGATTTCTGGGGACAGACGGGAACACCACCCATTATTTTCACGTGGCCATTGCTGGCTCCCAGGATTCCCCTTTGGGAAGAAGGGACTTTTTTTTTATGTGTGTGGCCAGCTCAGCCCACCTGGGGGCAGGGCTGGCTGGCATGTGGTGCTGGGGGATTGAACAGTGGTCCCTGTGCTTTGCTAAGCTTGTTCTAAGTAGGTGCTTTAGACCACTGAGGCATCTCACCAGGACGGAAGGGACTTTTAGTTATTTTTGCAAAACTGGGGATTAAACTCAGGCCCTTGCACTTGCCAGGCAGGTGCTTATTCTACTGAGCCATCTCCCCGGCCCCTAAGGAGGGACTTTTATTTTTTTATTTTTTACATTTTTTTAAAATTATTTATTTATTACATTTATTTATTGTGTGTGTGTGTGTGTGTGTGTGTGGCCAGCTCAGCCCACCAGGGGGCGCAACTGGCTGGCATGTGGTGCTGGGGATCAAACCGTGGTCCCTGTGCTTTGCCAAGCTTGTTTCAAGTAGGTGCTTTAGACCACTGAGCCATCTCTCCAGCCCCAAGGAGGGACTTTTAAACTTGAACTATTTCTGCCAGAATACCCAATGGCAGCACTCAAGCATGTTTTATGATCAAAATTTAGCATTCTTTTTTTTTTTAATTTAGCATTCTAATGTAGACAAGTTGGGAAGAATACACCTAGATTTTTTTTTTTTTTTGGAACTGGGAATTGAACTCAGGCCCATCTGCTTTCCGGGGAAGCGCTTATTCTACTGAGCCATCTCCCGAGCCCTTCATCTAGATATTTTGAAAGACAAATGGTCGTCAGCACTGCAGCTCCCCAGTTCTGCTATCCATGCAGGCTTTGCTGAGTGCTCCTAACCCAGATGACCCACTAGCAAGATGGAGCGGGGCAGTGGAAGATCAGCAAGCCCAGCCACAGAACAGCCAGAACAGGGATGAGGCTATATGCCATGAATATCTACGTCAGTCCGATCCTGTGTCACTTCTGCTCTGCCTTTTTTGTTTGCATGTAATGGACACAGTCTTAGAACATTACGAATAAAAGGCCAGATATTTAAAGCCAGACACCTGCAGTCTCAGCACCATGGAAGGCTGGAGCAGGATGACTGCAAACTGAAGCCCAGCCCGGGCAACACAGACTAAGCCAAGCACGAAAAGGGGTGGAATCAGGCAGGAGACAGAGGGAAACAAGAGGCATCTCATCTGGTTACCCTGACATGCCTGAGGGAGAGCTGTAGGCCTCTATCACTTTATAGATATAACTCAGGCAATGGCAGTTCATGGAAGTAACCTGCCCATGACCACACAGCCAGTCAGGATGGCAGACCTGGGATTTACACTAGACAGTCTTAAACATAGCTTTCAGTAACAGCCCATCTGCTGCAGCACACCACAGGTCTGCCCACTTGTTTAGAACCTCTATTGTTTTGGGGTTTTTTTCCCCAGTACCAAATTCTAGACCTTTCATTTACCAGGCAGGTGCTTGTTGCTAATACACCCTAGAACCTGTATTCTTTTTGGTTGTTTTTTTGGCAGAACTGGGGATTGAACCCAGGCCCTTGCCAGTCAAGCGCTTATTATACTGAGCCATCTCCCCAGCCCCTAGAACCTGTATTCTTAACACAGCTGTGCTGTCCAATGCAGGAGCCAGAGCACATGTGTGTTTCTTAAATTTTAAGAATTCAGGGGCTGGGGAGATGGTTCGGTAGAATAAGCGCTTCCCTGGCAAGTGCAAGGGCCTGAGTTCAATCCCCAGTTCTGGAAAAAAAAAAAAAAAAAAATCAGAGGAACTAGAGATACAGCTCAACAGCACAGTGCCTGTCTGGCAAGCTAAAGACCTGAGTTTGATACCTAGTACCAGAAAGATAAAAATAAAAATTCAGAGAATGACCAGGAGTCTGAGGCCTGCCTGGGATCATAGTGAGGCCAGGCTAAAGTCCAGGTCTTGCCATAGCCTGGTCCAGGTCTCAAGAATAATTTTTTGGGCTGGGGAGATGGTACAGTAGAATAAGCACTTCCCTGGCAAGTGGAAGGGCCTGAGTTCAATCCCCGGTTCAGCCAAAAAAAAAAAAAAGAGTAATTTTTCTTTAATTCTTAGCTGGATGGGGTTGCACATGCCTGTAGTCTTAGCGCTACAGGAGGCTGAGACAGGAGGATTACAAGTTTGAGCACAATCCAGGCAATTAAGCAAAACCCTGACTCAAGGGCCAGGCATAGTTGTACATGCCTATAATTTCAGCACTCAGCAGCCTGAGGCATGAGGACTATTGCAAGTTCAAGCCCTTGTTACAAAGTGAGCTCAAGGCCAGCCTAAACTGTATAGCAAGAACCTATCTCAAAAAGACTGGAAAAAAAAGAAAGAAAGAAAAGAAAAACCTCAAAATAAACAGAGCTACGAACAAATGTATCTCAGTACAAAGGCCCCAGGATCAATCTCGATTACCAATTTTTTTTTTTTTTTTTTAATCTGGTACAGGTCTCACTATGAAGCTCAGACTTGGAGTGATTCTCTTGTTTTCAGCCTCCCCAGTGCAGGCATTTCAAGTGTGCCTGCCCAGAAGCAGGGCCTGTGAGACATGTGGTACTGGGGATGCAAAAAAATTTTTTTCTGGTACCAGGAATTGAACTCAGGTTTTTTTGTTTTTGGTGTGGAGGACCAAACCCAGGGCTTCCAGCTTGCTAAGCAAGTGTTCTACCGCTGAGCCAAGTCCCCAGCCCCAGGAATTGAACTCAAGACCTTGCACTTGCCAGGCAGGCACTTAAATCAGAGGTATTTCCCTGGCTCACACAAAAGAATAAATTCAGATACAGTGGTGCGTGCTTATAACCCCAGGTTTTTGGGAGGCCGAAAGAGCAGGAACATAAGCTTAAGGCCAGCCCGGACAACTTACAGACCCTGTCTCAAAAAATAAAATAGCTGGGAGTTGGCTCAGTGGAATAAGCGCTTGCCTGGCAAGCTCAAGTGCCTGAGTTCAATCCCCGGTTCCATAAAATATAAAATAAAATAAAATAAAATAAAATAACATAACATAACATAACTAAGATAAAATAAAATAAAATAAAATAATGGCTGGAGATGTAACTTGAGTGGAGAATACCCTTAGGTTCAATCCCGAGGACTGCAGAATTTTTTTCTAAAAATTGTTTTCAGGGCTGGCCAAATAGCTCAGTGGATTACAGGGCCTGCAAGCAGGCGCAGGGGCAGGGGTTCAATCCTGGAGCCAGCTGCGCCCCCCCCCGCCAGGGTGTGCTGAGAAGGCAACTGAGTCTGGGTGTGGTGGCATAGCCTATGATCCCAGCTCTTGGGAGGTTGTAAATAGATCACTACGAGTCCTATCTTATAGTGATCTATTTACAGACCCTGAACATCCTGTAGACCCTTCCCTAAAATACAAAATAAATAAAAAATAAGTAAATAAAATTGTTTTCGAAACACTTACTATGTAGCTCAGGCTAGATGTTTCTTAACTTACTATGGAGCCCAGGCTGGCCTTGAACTCAAGGCAATCCTCATGCCTCAGGCTCTTGAGTGCTGAGATTACATGCATGTCCCACCACACCTGGTAAAAAAGAATCTGCAGTTATCCTTTACCCTTGCCACACAATACTTACGATCCCCATAGAGCCCCATATATCACGCAGTCGCCATAGTGAATAGCACAAGCACAGAATAAGCAGCACAGACAGTGCCACCACCCCGCACTGCTAGGCAGCAGTTTAGTTAGGGACCAACACAGGAACAGGGAGATATGGGGACCATGGCACGCGCCTAGAATTCACAAGGCCCTGGGCTCCATCCCATGCACAGCAAAGTAAATAAATGAAAAAAGAGAATTAATGTTAAAATCCTAATTTCTAGATGGGCATGACAGCATACCTGTAGTCTCAGCTACTCAAGACGTTGAGGCAAGAGATTACTTCTTCAGGGGCAGGAGAGATGGCTCAGTGGTCTAAAGCACCTACTTGAAACAAGCGTGGCAAAGCACAGAGACCGCAGTTCGATCCCCAGCACCACATGCCAGCCAGCCCCGCCCCCTGGTGGGCTGAGCTGGCCACACACATACACACACACAATAAATAAATGTAATAAATAAAAATAAATAAATATTTTTAAAAAAAAAGAGAGAGAGAGATCACTTCTTCAACCCTGTTTAAAGGTAGCCTATGCAAAATAGGGAGACCCTGGGGCTGGTGAGATGGCTCAGTGGTCTAAAGCACCTACTTAGAACAAGCTTAGCAAAGCATAGGGACCACTGTTCAATCCCCCAGCAAACATGCCAGCCAGCCCCGCCCCCTGGTGGGCTGAGCTGGCCACACACACACACACACACACACACACACCCACACACACAAATAAATAAAATTAAAAAAAAAAAAATAGGGAGACCTTGTCTCAAAAAAATAAACAAATACATAAAAATGAAACAATAAAAATCACAATTTCTGCCTATTAAAACACTGGAAGATCAAATAGCCACAGGCCCTTTTCTCCCCTAGGCCACAGCAGTCTAAAGCTGAGCACAACTGGTCCCATGAGTGTGGCAATCAACAGTCCACTGAGCTCAGACTTCATTTCCATGCAGCTACCTGTCTTTATTCAAACCCCTCTTCACTTTTCCACACGCAAGGAATGTGGACCCAGCAAGGGAGATGCACTCTATGCAGATCTCGAAGCACATGGGTAGACATGGCTGAGTAGAGACCCAGGCTTTCAGATTCCCGGGCCAGGATTAAGAGCTGGCCCCTGTGCTTGCAGGTGGTCAGCCACTGCAGGCCCTCACCCCAATGCCCATCTGAAGACTCTCCGGACACAGGAGTTGTGACATCTGGGATGCACTTTATTGGACCTGTGGCTGCCCCACCCTTAGTCTGGCAGCCCTGGGGCCCAGTGGACCCAGGCACTGAGTTTGAGGATGCCCAGCAGTCAGGGCTGTTTGGAGCGAGGCCACAAGCGGCTGGTGAGAGAGCTGAAGAAGAGGTTCTGCTTGTTGGACTTGGAGAGCTCCGCTAGGCGCTGCTGCTCCTCCTGGGATGGGGAGAGAGCAAAGGGGTCAGCTCAGAGAGCAGAGTCCCTTCCCAGGCTCCCAGGTGGCTAGCCCGCAACCCAGGGGCCATCATCCCTTTAGCCTGGACTCATCCCCCAAGACATAACACCCACCATCCCCCACATGGGGATCTGACCCCTCCCTTCCACCTGAGACACTGGCAAGTCAATCTGAGTCCCCAGGGTCCAGGCTCCAAAGTCTAGAAACACCAGACTCATCCCAGGCTCTGAGTTTGTGGCCCTGAACCTCAGCAGCTCCTCAGGCCCCAAATGCTCAGATTCCAGGGGCCCTTCCTTTTAAGCCTGGGAACCTATTGCAGATGCTATGCCCCCATCTAGGTGATGGTCAGATGCCAAGTCCCAAAGTCAGACTTCAGCAGATCACACCGTCCTGCACCCAAGGGACCAGCCCTGGGCCCCATAATCCCAGTGTGGATGTTGAGGGTCTCAGATATCGCCCAGGAACTCAACCTAGATGGTCAGTTTCAACCTGCACCCCTGGCCTGTCTCAGATTCAAACTATACTCTTTGCCCCACTTCCAATTGCTGGAGGACCTAGGCACACTGACACCTATCTGCAACACTTTCACAGGAGGCTGGGGCAGGAATACTTCTGAGTTTAAGGCCAATTCATGCTACATATAGTGAGACTCTATCAAAAAAAAAAAAAAAAAAAACGAACGAACCAAAAATCCCTGTGGTCTGTTCAAGACTAGGAAACTCATTCCTTAGACTCATAGCTCAAGCTCAAGATCCCTCTTTTCAGACTTAATCTAAATTCTCAGTCCGCCTCTACTCGGTGCCTCCAGAGCAACTGACCGCCCAACCAAGCCAGCACTCATCATTGCCACCCCCTACACTGAGAGCTGGCTGCAGACCGACCCTACCCGCTTACAACAGTACTGCAAGACAGGCTGTGTCATAGTCCTGGGGAGCCCAGAAGTGGCCCCCAGTGTGGGGATGTGAGCCTTGACCTGCTCAAGCTGGTTCTGTCGCTGTTTGAAAGCCTCCAACGGGTCATCTTCCAGGGCATAGTGCTCCAGTACGGTCCGGACATCCTCCACCTGGTTCAGTGCAATGGCTGTGGGCACAACACGGGGGTCAGGCAGGATGCGGAGGTTAGAAGGAGGTGCACCCACAGGGCAAAGGTCAGACCTGGAGTCAGGACTCCCTGGAATGCTTCTTGATGCTCTGAAAGGGTTCCCCTGAATATTCCCCTTAGCCTCTAAATGTGCACAAGAGCAATGAATACTCCAGAAGTCCTCTTGGACTCCTGCACCTCAACTGCTGTTTTACAACACAAGCCAGAATCAAGCATCTGTTAAAATCTTCAGGGTTAATGGTGGGGTCAGAGGCCAGGAGGCCAGGATTAATCCTCACTCTTAAGGAAGGCAGACAGGTCCAATAAGATCCGGTCATCGGAATTGCCGTCCCATGGTCGCAGGGCAACACCATTGTAGGGCTGTAGGCGGAAGGCTTCTTTCTTGCAGTCCACAATGACCACGCGGGCTGGATCCCGATTCAGACACGAAATGTCCTGGAAGTAGGTCACAGGTCTTATCATCACCTGCGTTCCCACTGCCACAAACACACAGAGCACCATGCAAACTGCCATCCACAGCAGGTTAGTCTCAGCCTCTCAGGGTGCTAGAGCACTAGCCATAGATTCAAGGACCAGGGTTCCCTGTAGTGTGGACTCAAGAGATTCCCAGAAGGAAGTGGACACTGGCTCAGGTGTCTCTGGTATACTGTAGGTATGAGAACCTTTAACCCAGAGAGGAGCAGACAGCCACGTCAATACAGGGACAGGGACAGGGACACACACACACCCCCTCTGGTGTGTGTGGCCAAAACCCCAACAGCAGCCCAGGTCCACACTAATCAAGACCTATACAAGCCAGATGTAATGACACACAACTGTAATTCCAGCACTTTGGAGGCTGAGACAGGACAGCCACAAGTTTGAGGCTAGCCTGGCCTATGTAGCAAGTCAAGGGCAGCCTGAACTACACAGTGAAACCCTGTCATTTAAAAAAAAAAAAAAAAAAAAAAACTAGAAAACAAAAAAATACCTATACAAGAACCAAAAGGGACCTGGACATATAGGTATTTGTAGCCAGACCCAGAGCCCTAGATACGAGATCTCAAGCTAAGCCAATCCCAAACATAGGCTTGTATCAGCTATGGTAACTACAGTCTCCAAAACAGTTTCAGTTAGCAGGGCTAAGCTACATTCCAGCCTTTTTTTAAAATTTGGAACAGGTTCTTGCTAAGTTAGTGAAATGTCTTGCTTATGCAGTTCAAACTGGCTTTGAACTCACTCTGACTCAGGCTTGCCTCACGCTTGTGGTGACTGTTCTCTTGGTTCAGGCTCCTGAGTCCTGGGACTATAGATGTGTGCCACCACACCCAGGTGGACTGTCTTTTTAGGGAGGACTCGCTTTCCCCAACTGGGGAGAAAGAGGCTAAAGCATCCCTTCTAAGGTGGATGCTGACTCACATACTGTCAAGATGATTCAATTGGGCAGAGCCACAGCAGGGTTGAAGATGGGATTGAAGCTGGGTATCCTACCTCTCAGGTAGTGGCAGTATCCCTAAACCCATCCCCAAGGCCCAGTATAACGCCAATGGCACCTTCACATGGTGCCCATCCATGTATCTCGTGGCGTCCCGGAACAAGCGATAGGAGATGAAGCCATGAGGGTCCACGCTATCAATGAGTGGAAACGCCGTCTAATAGGAACCAAGAAGAAGACAAGTCAGACCTGGCCAGCAGCTCTCCACATCTGTCACACCAGCCCTGTCTGCTCTACCCCGAGCCTCACCATGCCGGTCTCCGAAGTGAAGATGACAATTTCGTACAAAGGGGCAAGCTGCTGGAACAAGGTTTCGATGCCTGGGCGCTTCTTAAACCTCCAGCCAGTAGCCAGCTGGGGAAACAGTGAAGGTAATGAAACACTGAAGGCAAGATGCCCCCAGAGGCCCCACAGCCTGCTCTAGGAATTCTCAGAACCAGGGTCCTCTCTGCTCTTGAGGGATTCAGGAGCGTAGGAGCTGTGAGCAGAGTCTGAACAAGCGCTGATTTTTTTTTTTTTGGCAGTACTAGGGACTGGACCCAGGGCCTCTGCACTGAGCTACAGCCCCACCTCTTCTTAAAAGTTTTTTTTTTTTTTTTGCGGAACCGGGGATTGAACTCAGACCCTTGCGCTTGTCAGACAAGCACTTATTCTACTGAGCCATCTCCCCGGCCCCCCTCTTCTTAAAAGTTTGAGATGGGGTCTAAATTGCCCAGGCACACATCCTGTGTACCCAGACACATTCATAACAAGCCCACAGAGTGGGTACTGAGGAAAGTGAGGAAACAGGAAGGGAAGACCCTCCCCAAGAAGCACAGCAGAGTGGGGTCCAGTCCCCACAACATCACAACCTGACTGCCTGGGTCCATCCCCAACCCACTGCTTTCCCCAGGACACACCGACCACTCAGGGTGCAAGAGGACACCAGTGAGCTCCAGAACGAGCGTGTAGGGTGGCTGGTAGTACGGCTCCCGCAGAGGGTCTGGGAGAAGGCAAGGGCTGGTGGGCTCAATGATCATCTGCAAGAGAGGGAGAAAACAGCTATGTTCAACAAAGAAGCCAGGGGCTCAGACTGCAGGACAGGGACTGGGTCAGGTCCCTACTCACCTGTCTATAATCTTTGAAATATTTGTATGTCCGACGCAACTGCTGAATGAGAATCGGATCTAGAAGAACAGCAGGCACAAAGGGATTCCATAAGCCCCTGCTCCATCTCCCAGGTAAGCAGGAGGCTTATGATGTACCTGAAACAAACAGGGCTACCTACGCCCTGCTACCAACTTATTTCTAGATCCAAAGGAAGAAGGCAATGCTGTATCACCAGGTAAAAGCAAAGGTATTTATTCACCTGCCCAGTTATAACCTGAATACTTACAACCACAGACCATGCCAGGTGTAAAATAGAACATTTACACATTAGCCCACTTAGCCACATATTTGTAAACCCACTGACACTACACCAGATTTTGTATATGTGGAACCAACAGTCTTCTAGGTCTGGTTTAAGCCAAAGTACCGAGTCTAATCATACCACAAAGAATACACACCCATATCTATGTACTTCATTTTATTTTTTTGATACTGGGAATCAAACTCAGGACCTTGTGTTTGTCAAGCAGGGGCCATACTGCTGAACTATCACCTTGGCCCTGTACCTGTATACTTCAAACCAATGATTCTCAACTAGGAACAATCTTATCTCTCCTCCCCCTGAGTAGTTTGGCAATATATGTATAGAGACTTGTTTTGTTTTTTTTTTTTTTTGTTTTGAGATAGTCTGTCTTTGTAGTTCAAGTTGGTCTTGAACTCACTATGCTTGAGGCTGGCTTCAAAAAGCATGGCAATTCTCCTGCCTCAGCCTCTTGAGTGTTGGGATTACCAGCATGCACCACCACCCCCAGCTTTCTGGAGACCTCTTTGACTGCTATAGTAGTGGCATCTAGTGGACACTGCTAGATTTCTTACAACACAAGACAGCCCTCCTCCCCCACCCCAGCAAAGAATTATCTGATCTCAAGAGTCAACTGGGCTGGGAGTAAAAAAGCTAAAAGCTTAGCCTAAATTCTTTTATTTATTTATTTTGATAGGAGAAAAATGATAAAAGAATTTGCCAGGGAAGCGCTTATTCCACTGACCCATCTCCTCAGCCCCTTAAATTCCATTTAAACCAGTAAACTGATTACGTGAGTGCCTACTTCACTACAGTATTTTCAGTCTAGTTCTACCTATTTATCATGCCTCTTAACTACAGCATAGAAACCGCCCCCCC